TTTTTTTTTTTTTCCGGAATAGGGTAATTTTGTCTGCTGTTCAGGAAGATATTCTTTTTCCTCAATGATTTTCTTAATGGCATCTGGGAACCAGTATCTACTGCCTCTTGGTCAGCAGAAGTTGATTCTCTTGTTATCTTAACTTTTTTTTTTTTTAATGTTTATCTTTATTTTTGAGACAGAGAGAGACAGAGCATGAGCTGGGGAGAGGCAGACAGAGAGGGAGACACAGAATCCGAAGCAGGCTCCAGGCTCTGAGCTGTCAGCACAGAGCCCAATGCGGGGCTCGAACTAGTCAATTGCGAGATCATGACCCAAGCCGACACTCAACCGACTGAGCCAGCCAGGCGCCCCTTATCTTAACATTTTTAAACCAAATCTCTTTCTAAAATCATCAAACCATGCTTTGCTGGCATTAAATTCTCCAGCTTTAGATACCTCACCTTCTTTTTGCTTTAAGTAGTCATAACATGACTTCATCTTTTCTCAAATCATATAAAGCTTATAGGTATGCCCTTCTTACAGCAATCCTACACCCACGTTAAAGCTGCATTTTCAATACGAGATTAAAAAAAAGTATTTCGCAAAAAATGCAAGGTTTTTGTGCCTGTTGGCATAGTTGCCACAATGGCTTCATGAGTTTCCCTTTTCTTTTTTTTAAACAATGGTCCTTACACTGGATTCATTTATCTGGAAATGGTGGGCAACCGCAGCCACAGACATCAATCTATGGTACATATCAAGCAATTCAACTTTTTCTTGTAAAGTCATGACTTCTCTCTGCTTCTCGGGAGCACATCCAGCATCACTACTGGCACTTCATACAGGTCCCCTGGTGTTACTCAAGGTGTATGGCATTGAGCTACACGTGATTTATACGTTTTAAACGTATTTAAAAGTGAAAGATATGCAAGAACCACAAAAGATCATTTTTGACTGTGATATGCAATTCACTGAAGGGACCAATTGCTCACGTGGAGACGATTAGCATCACACAGCGTTTTTAAGCAGATACTCATAACACAAGCTCACCGCAAGAGCAACAGAAGAATAGCTACGAAATTATTACAGTAGTAAAGCATGTATTACAGTTGATTTTATGCAGTTATGATTTAATACTGCATCTTTAAGTTTGTTTACATTTCTCTCAACTGTGAATGGCACCATGTACAGTATGTGTTTGTGTGCATAAGTTTTGATAAATTTTAACTTTTTATATCTGTTTATATCTTATGGTAGGGTAAATGATCAAATAGACTAATATCTACATATCTTTTTCTTAATTTTTTTGATATTTCTAGGCCACGCCGTTTTTGAGTTTTTCCAAATTGTTGCAAGTCCCCCCCAAATTTTCCCAATATACCTGTTTAAAACAATATACATGTAAGTGACTCATGCAGTTCAAACCCATGTCATTCAAGGATTAACTGTATTTTTATTTAGTATTTATATATTTGTTCCAATCTGATTTAGAAAAACATAATCAGCAAAAACTAGTAACATATAGTTTCTTTAAAAGTAAACTTAAGATCAGACACCTGGGTAGCTCAGTCAGTTAAGAGTCTGACTTCAGTTCAGGTCATGATCTCACAGTTCATGGGTTCAAGCCCGACATCAGGCTCTGTGCTGACAGCTCGGAGCCTGGAGCTTATTTCTGATTGTGTGTCTCCTTCTCTATCTGCCACTCCCCTACTCGCACTGTCTCACTGTCTCTCTCTCTCTCTCTCTCTCTCAATCTCTCTCTCTCAAAAATAAATGTAAAAAAAAATTAAAATTTTGAGTCCAACTTCAGCTCAGGTCATGGTCTAACAGTTCATGAGTTTGAGCCACACATTGGGCTCTCTGCTGTCAGTACACAGCCCACTTCAGGTCCTCTGTTCACCTCTCTTTCTGCCCCTCTGTTTGCACTCACTCGTTCACTCTCAAAATAAATAAATAAACTTTTAAATAAATAGACTTAAGATTTTAAAAAGCTAGTCCTCCTGATTGTGTTGACAGTTTCACAGGTGTCTATATAATGCCAAAGTACATTAATCACACCTTTTTAAGAGGTACAGGTCATTTATTTAGGTCAATTATACCTCTATAAATCTTTTTTTTTTTTTTTTTAAGAGTCAGTATAAAGAAAATACCAGATAAATAGCAGTGCAGATGATATGCCCATCTGCAGGTGAGTGTTCAATGACCAGAGTTCAGGGACCCAGCTTCAAGTTATAAAAGGAACAAGTGGCACAGCTATGACAAGGACCCTCTCTGTCTGCTGGGTCCCCATCCAGGGCTGTTTCACCAAACTAAATTGGCTTTGTCAAGATAATAAACATAACACTTTCAAATACAATTTAAGTGATTCCTTGTGTAAAATAAAGAATTGATCTGGGGCGCCTGGGTGCCATCCAACTCTTGATTTCGGCTCAGGTGATGATCTCATGGTTTGTGAGATCGAGCCCCATGTCAGACTCTGCACTGTCAGCATGGAGCCTGCTTGGGATTCTCTCTCTCCCTCTGTCTCTGCCCCTCCCATTTGTGCACATGCTCACTCTCTCTCTCTCTCTCTCTCTCTCTCTCTCAAAATAAATAAATAAACATTTAAAAAAATTAATCCTAATTTATCTGTTCAAATTTCAGATTTTTTCAACAATCTGTAAAAAAGCCTACAAGAGGCTTAACTATACATGATCTTCATCTTAACAAACTAAGGTGTTCTTTGTACCATCCTTCTAACTTTTCTAAGTTTATAATTTTTTAATGTGAGAAATAGGTAGAAGGGTGCCTGGGTGGCTCAGTCGGGTTAAGAGTCTGACTTTGCCTCAGGTCATGATCTCGCGGTTTGTGGGTTTGAGCCCCGTGTCAGGCTCTGTGCTGACAGCTCAGAGCCTGCTTCAGATTCTGTGTTTCCCTCTCTCTCTCTCTGCTCCTCTCCCACTTGTGCCTCTCTTTCTCTCTCTCAAAAATGAATAAACATTAAAAAATAAAAAGAAGTAGGTAGAAAAAATGAAACAAATTTCCTAAAGCGAGGCCTGCAGTTCTGCAAAAACTTAAACCATTTAAAAGGGTTACAGATCCAAAGTTAGATCAAGTTTCTGATGTTAGATGTGTGTTAATGAGGACTATGGTTCTGCTACATTGGGGTTAAAAATGCTCAACATGGATGATAATTTCACTCAACACTGGAACACCTTTGGTATGCCTGGGTGGCTCAGTCAGTTGAGCATCTGACTCTTAATTTAGGTTCAAGCATGATCCCAGGGTTGTGGGATAGAGCCCCATATCAGACTCTCTCTGCCCTATTTCCCCACTTGTGCATATGCTCTCTCTCTGAAAAGTACAGCATAAGGAATACAGTCAAAAACATTTTAATAACATAGTATGGTGCCAGATGATAACCACACTCATCATGGTGAGCACTGCATAATGTACACAATCATGAAGTCACTATGTTGTACACATGAAACTAATGTAATATGGTATGTCAACTATACTTCAGTAATAAAAATTTTTAAAAAAACTGGAATACCTTATATAATAGAGCATTTCACGTATATTTCACAGAGGCAGCTTTGTTTATGCATCCCGGCTCTATGAAGGTGCTGGGGTAGAAATTATCTCCAGTTTTTACAAATAAGGAAATTGAGGCAGGCAGGGATAAAACGACTTATCCAAGCTACAAAGTACGAAGCTGAAGCTAGAACTCAGGTCTTCTCATTCCCAATCTGTGTTTTTTCTCCTACATCCGGGAAGTAGTGGAGAATCCCTAGAAAATCAACTAACATCTTAGCAGTTCCTACTGGAAAATGCATTCAGGGGCCAACCAATTTACACAGGTGAACATTTTTAGGGTATTATCCACTAGTATTTGACAACTGCTTAGCTTCTCAATAATGTATATGATTGGACATGTTTCCTTAATTTTCTTTATCTAATGTTTTTCAGGAAAATGGCACTATGGTTCTCTTAATTTTTTTTTTTAACGTTTATTCATGTTTGAGAAAGAGACAGAGCGCAAGCAGGGGAGGGGCAGAGAGAGAGGGAGACATGGAATCTGAAGCAGGCTCCAAGCTCTGAGCTGTGAGCACAGAGCCCAATGTGGGGCTCGAACCCATGAACCATGAGATTATGACCTGAGCTGAAGTCGGACACTTAACCAACCGAGGCACCCTGGCGCCCCAGCACTATGGTGTTCTTGATCCCAATGTCAGTGTTTGAAATATTTCATAACTGTCTCCATCTACAGAAATCTTAGAACAAAAGAACAAAATATACCTAATAAACAGCCATATGCAAAACTTTTCAGTACATTATACAAATTCAACAGGCAACAGATATTAATGGATAAGTCCTATCTTCTTCCACTTTAAAACAGGACATATCTGAATATTCTCCCCAGAAGCACACTTCTATCCAACAGCTCATCATTTTCCTTCCCCAAACAGGCCCAGATTTGTCCCAAATGAGAGTCTCAGTGCAAAACCTGAAAAGACCCAGTCCCCAAATCACAGAGAACACTACCATCTCCTCTTCCCTCCTCTTAGAACATGTTTTTATTACAGCACAGAGTAATATCCCTGCCTGTCTTCACTGCCACTCTATGAGATCCTCAATGACATGGGCTATGTCATTTCCAAGTGGAGTCTTATTTATACCTTTACCTCTTACTTCCCCCAAACAAAAATGTCATTCATTAGATGTTTGAAGGAACGCTCAGAGAGAATCCAAGAGAGTAAGAAGTATTTTATATCTACTCATCACTTCTTTTTCCTTTCCTTTCCCCATTGAACATATTGCCCATACCACTGACACATTAAGCCTTTTGAAAGCATGACAGGACTATCAAAGTTCCAAACCTCTTAGGCCTGTGAGGACCTCTCAGCCTACCTTCCCAGTGTGCTGCTCAGTATTTTCTTCACATACACCACACTCAAAGTTCAAATTCACTTCCCATGCATTCAAATATTTTGTGAGGGCCTACAGAGATATCCATGTGTCAGAGACTCTTCTACATGCCAGAGATATGACAATTAAGCTCAAGTCCCCGTCCTTAAGGCAGCTCTCAGTTCCTCCATATGCCCCATGTTTCCCTGCCTCCATACTGCCGCTGTGATTAATCTCTCCACTTGAATATTTGGATTATAGTTATTCGCTCCTTGGAAAGAGCAAGTTTGTATAATTTACCTCTGCATTCTCAAAGCCCACTGCATCAAAAGACATAAAATAAAAAATCATTCATTCATTCGTTCATTCATTCAGTACTTCTCTTGGAAAAGAAAAATAGTCTGGTTAGCAGCCAGCTTCTGAAATCCATACTAAAGAATTCCAGTGCACTTACCTTTAGTCTTCTTGGCCCATCTTTGGCAGAGCCCTTCCTTCTGCTCCTGGTAAGCACAGTGATAACCTTATCCAACCCCCTTTCAAGGCTCCCAAACACTTTGGTTCCTTTTCTTTTTGGAGTATCCTCTACATGTGCTTGGTTGAGATCCAGTTCCACTGAGTGACATCTTAAAAAGAAAAAAAAATCCATGAGTAAAACTGGGCCTCCTGCCAGTTGGGGCTGTCACAAGCCGTTCAAGTATGCCAAGGCGAATGCCAAGGCCAGTCCAGCTCACTACTCAGGAAGCACAAAAGCCATCTCCCACTGGAACACAGCCATCACCCCTCCCCTCAGCCAACTGCCCCTTGGCAAAACTATTTTTCCCCTAGCTTTTTAAAAAAAAAATATACAGAAAAGTTGGGTGAAGAGTACAATGAACCCCATATATATATCCTCTTAGATTCAACAGTTGTTAATGTCTCACCACATTTGCCTTCTCTACATATATAAATGAATACATTAAATATATGCACATCTTTGCTGAACCATCTAAAGGTAACCCATCTGAAGATACCATGAGACTTCACTCTGAAACACTTAAGCACACATACCCAACAAATAACGACATTTTCTACATAACCACAATACCATCAAGACAATTGATAATAATGCCACAGTACTGTCTAATATCTAGTTCACAGTCTAATTTCCTCAACTGCCCTCAAAATGGATCCTGCTTTAAAAAATAGCTATTACACTGGGGTGCCTGGGTGGCTCAGTCGGTTAAGCATCCGACTTTCACTCAGGTCATGATCTTGCAGTTTGTGGGTTTGAGCCCCACATCGGGCTTTGTGCTGACAGTTCAGAGCGTGGAGCCTGCTTCAGATTCTGTGTCTCCCTCTCTCTCTCTGCCCCTCACCTGTTCACACTCAGTCTCTCTCTCTCTCTCAAAAATAAATAAACATTAAAAAATTTTTTTAATAAATAAAAAATAGCTATTATAGGGGTGCCTTGGTGACTCAGTTGGTTAAGTGTCTGATCATGCCCCATGTCATGCTCTGTGCTGACAGTGTGGAGCCTGCTTGGGATTCTCTCTCCCTCTCTCTCTTCCCTGCCCCTGTCCCTGTTCATGTGCCTACACTATCTTTCTCTCAAAATAAACTTTAAAAACATTTAAAAATAAAAATAAAAAATAGCTATTATAGACGATGAGGGGTGTCTGGCTGGCTCGCTCAGAGGAGCATGCAACTCTTGATTTCAGGGTCATGAGTTCGAGCCCCACACAGGACGCAGGGATTACTTAAATAAATAATATAAACATTTTTTAAAATTAAAAAATAAAGACAATGAAGGGACGCCAATGCTGCCAAACTGTCCATGTCCATACAAGAGGGATGAGTTTTCTTTGACACACCAGTTGGTATCTTTACTATATGAAGAACTGCTATCAGTGGATGTCTACACTCTACCAGGAGAAGCATCAGAAAAGATGGGCCTCAGAAAGGGGACTATGTGGATGGGGCCAGAGCCACTGTCTTCCCAAGCTGCTGTAAATTAAGATGCCAGTCCTACTGCTGAAGAGTTTCAGATTTCTTTCCCATGAGGAAGGCAGCAACAACAGCTACAGTAATGGCCACAGACCATCCGCATTCAGCTAGACATTTCTGCAGTCTCCGACATAATTTACACAATGGCTTGTTACCTTAATCAGGCTGATCATACGTGAAAAAAGAAAATCTGGCTACATATACTAAAGATCAAAGAATCTAAAAAACAGAACACTTACCGCCTCTCAGGGCTAATGACACCTGTCATTAACTTCTCTGTTCCTGCTGAATTTATTGGCATTTTAACTGGAGTTTCTTTCAGGCACTGGTTTCTGGCTATTAGAAAAACAACACAAACCATATGTAGCTGACATATTATGGTTTCAAAATTTCTGTCAATAATGCATACATCACTTATTCATTGACTCAGAAATACTGTAATCACTTGGCCAGTGGTGTTAAGGCTCTTCTTATTTAAAGAATTATTTCCATGTGATTTATAATAAAAACAAAATCATTTTGGCTTTGCATGTGTGGCTCTTCTTTTCCTTCACTACAAAACCGAGTCCATGATTAAAATTTTATTATAAATATTATATGACAAATTTAAATAGATCATATAAATACAGATTTTATGACTACTGATTCTCCTTTCTATAAACAAAAGTCAATCTGTATTTATACAAGGATCCAATTTGTGCTTTTAATTGAAAATAGTATTGAGAGGTATTCATTCAATTCTTTGCCCTACTCAACTCCTGTTAGGCAAAGAGAACAGTCCCCATGAAGGCTTGACAAAAGCTTTAAACAGTGTGAGCTTTTGTTATTTTTCTATTCTAGAATATAAATTCTATTCTAGAATTTTGTGTTTCATTCTAGTAGGGTATTTGTATCCAGATAATTTGTGACAAATTCACAATAACAAATCTGGTTACCACTATTTAGTTAACTTTTTGTTTATGATCTAAAAGTTGCATACCCTTCAGAGGGAACAACACTTTATAACAAGCATATGATATCAAGTTTTTAAGATGAAATTAAAGATTTTGTTTTGTTTTGTTTATGACTATCAGGACTATTTTCACTGGTTCCATGAGAACAAGAAAATAATATCTCTGAAAATATTTTCATCTTTGTATACAAGGAGTATCTACTATTATACACAGTTACTCGTTGATGAAGTATTGCTGACTGTATTGTACCAGATTAAGTGATTAATGCTTATGTGAAAAATGACTCAGATGAAAGAAAGTAAAGTACACAGCACTAATGGAAGCTATCAATCGGGGCTTTAGCCAGTAGCTTCTGTAGGTGGCTCTTATGTTTAAAGAAAAATAGCCAATAATAACTTTAGACCAACACAATCTTTCTCACAAACTGAGAGGAAGTTTTCTATGCAAACTGATGATACATTAAGATTATAAACTCCAAACTATCCATGTTTCAAAACTTTCAGAATTACAGAAAAAGTTAAAACACACAGGGCGCTTGGGTGGCTAAGTTGGCTAAGTATCCAACTTCAGCCCAGATCATAATCTCGTGGTTTGTGGGTTCAAGCCCCGTGTCGGGCTCTGTGCTGACAGCTCAGAGCCTGAAGCCTGCTTCAGATTCTGTGTCTCCCTCTCTCTTTCTCTGTCCCTCCCCCGCTCACACTCTGTCTGTCTCTCTCTCTCTCTCTCAAAGATAAACATTTAAAAAAAATTTTTTTTAAGTTAAAAACACATACTCAATAATAGAAGGAACTATAAGCATCAAAGGCTTAAAAAAAAAAAAAAAGCCCTCTGGGGCGCCTGGGTGGCTCAGTCTATTGAGCCTCCGACTTCAGCTTAGGTCATGATCTCACAGCTCGTGGGTTTGAACCCCGCATCGGGCTCTGTGCTGACAGCTCGGAGCCTGGAGCCTGCTTCGGATTCTGTGTCTCCCTCTCTCTCTGCCCCTAATCCGCTCACAGTCTGTCTCTGTCTCTCTCAAAAATAAATAAACATTTAAAATTAAAAAAAAAAAAAAGCCCTCAATGAGTTAAAGTCCATCTTATCTCCCTACCCAACCCCGATTCACAAACAATACTGTAGCTATATTAACAAGTAACAGAAGAGAAATACCCCATTAGGAAAAAAATGCAATAGCAGCTACTACTAGTAACATCTGACCTTAGTATCCAAACGTTACCTCACTGAACCCTCATAACAACCCCAGGCAGCTATACATGCTTATCACACCAAACTAGCTAGCTTCACAATTCTGGGGAAAGTGTTGTTTGAGCTGATGAACGAGATAATGCAGTTAACAGAATAACAGAACTTCCAGTAAATATTCTGACAAAGTTGATCATAATATCTTTACAAGAAGTAGAGCTCTGAAACTGGCTATCAGGCCCATTAGCAAATTAGAAGCACAATGGCAGGACATGATTTAGCAGTACTTCACATGGCAAGGTCTTGGAGTTTGGGTTCATTAGGCTCTTAACATAAAACAAGAGTAGGTTACAATTGCTAGAAAAAAAGGCCAAAAAGGTTTAGGAGTCATTTTAAAAAGTGACTTGGGGGCACCTAGGTGGCTCAGTCAGTTGAGCATCCGACTCTTGATTTGGGCTCAGTTCATGATCCCAGGGTCGTGGGAACGAGCCCTGTGTCAGGCTCCATGCTGAACGTGGAGCCTGCTTAAGATTCATTCTCTCTCTCTCTCTCTCTCTCTCCCTCCCTCTCCCTCTCTCTCCCTCTGCCCCTCTCCCCCACTCACACTCACGCTCTCTAAAAATAACAATTTTTTTAAAAAGTGACATAGACTAGATCACAATAAATAAAACCCCTTCAGGCTCTAATTCATTCTTTCTTTCAACAGATATGGCCCCACTATATACCAGGCACTGGGCACCTACTAAGTACCAGACAATAAAGATGACCCCTACCATATACTATGCCATGTTGCAAAAATGGCAGACAGAATCTCTACTCTCATGATGCTTACAGTCTTATCCTGATGAGACCCAGCACTAGAAAACTGGGTTCAGTTCTAGGAACTGACAAAATAGAATGTGCCTAAATGAGGCCAGCAAGAAAACACTGAGGTGTCATAAAAGAAACCACTTAAATAATTGGTGAAGACTGAGCTGATAAGGAAACCAAGGGCAATGAGAAAGTTGTAATATCTGGACGCAGATCTAGATCTCTAGAAGGACATGACTATGAGTGCTTCTGAAATATGAGCAAGAGCAGGATCAGATACCAGAACTAGAGATCCAGATGAGTGAGATCTCAGGGCTCAGCAGAGACTTCAGTTTTAGTCACCATAAGTGGGGGCAAAGGAGAAAACAAAGTCTAAATCTGGATATATGACCTTGGGCAAATCACTCGTCTGAGCCTTGTGTTCTTCAGCTGTGAAAAAAACAGGTGGATGAAATGAGCTCTAACTTGCCTTTCAGCTTTGATATTCTATGATGCTATACTTCAACTTTACATATGTGAAAAAGAGAAAAAATATCAATAGAAGTTGACTAATATGCTTTCATTTCAACCAATGCAAATAATATAGGATAAAGAAAAGCATAAATTCCTGAGGGCAATGCTAGCCATTTCCGACCTATTATGTGCTTAGATGGTAAGAATAGAATTTGAAGGTACTTTACCCTGATCAGTACGTATAGCAAATACCTTTTGAGGGTGTAGTGTAATGATTTGGTGTGGAGAGTATTTCTCTCTTATGCTGGTTCTTATTAACTGGAGTCTTTGGCTCAGGAAATACAAAGCACTCATCATTCTTTACAGCAGACTTAGGCGTATATACATTCTCTTTGTTCTTTAATTTATTGGCAGATGCTCTGCATAATACTGGAGTTAATGATTTAGATTCCAGACCATTTGATTCTGTCCAATGCTTGGCAAACTGGAAAAAAAAAAGTTACTGGATAAAGCACAATGAAGAAGAAGAAAAGTCAATTTCTCTACAACATGCCTTAATCATTTGCAAATTACCATGCACCATTTTTACTAAAATGAAATACTCTCAAAAGGATATTATTGGCAATACCAGGAAATTTAAAAATGTATATTCAATTCTCTTTAGTACACGTAGATCACTTTAGTCTGTTCTACTGACAGATCATTTTCAACATGTTTTAGGCTGAGTGTTAAATCAAACACACCCAGATCTCAGGCAATACTGAGAATGGTCACAATTAAATCCCTGAGGAATTGTTTCCCATGCCTAGATTCCCAAGGTTTGTCTCTAATGTGTACCAAAAACTAAGTGTTTAGTGATTACAGCAGAAAAACCATGTTAAAATACTCTTAACAGAAATGTTGCACACAAAATATTTTTTAATCATTTTGGATTTATGGTTGAGCTTGCAAAAAAGTAAGGAAAATCCTCAGAGGCTAAAGAAGAGGAGCATGAATCCAGAGATAGAATAAAGGCTGAAGCTGTCCATTGCTCTAAGGCCATCTACCTACCACCTCAGATAACCGGCAGCATGGACGTTAACAGCCATGGAAGCCTTAGGCCTATGCAAGGTGGTAAGTTAGAACCAAAGTGCTCATGAAAAGCCAGAGGGGGCTATAACTAAAATGAAAGGCGGGGTGGGGTGGCTCGGTCAGTGAAGCATCCTACTTCAGCTCAGGTCTTGATCTCACAGTTGCCCCACGATCACGACAAGCCTTTGTCAGGCTCCCTGCTGATAGGACACAACCTGCTTGGGATTCTCTCTCTCCCTCTCTCTGCCCCTCCCCCACTTGTGGTTTCTCTCTCTCCAAAACAAATAGACTTAAAAAACAAAACAAAACTAGGGGCACCAGGGTGGCTCAGTCAGTTAAGCCTCTGACTTTGGCTCAGGTCATGATCTCATGGTTC